ATCGATGTTTCTCTCTCATCGATGTTTCTAACTCTCTATCCCTCTCCCTTCCTCTCTGTGAAAAATCAATAAAATATATTTAAAAAAATACACATATATGTTGAATGTATGTGGTTTTTTAAAAAATATATTTTATTGTTTGTTTTTTTTTACAGAGAGGAAGTTTTTAAAAAGATATATTTTATTGTTTGGGTTTTTTTTGAGAGAGGAAGGGAGAGGAACAGAGCCAGAAACATCGATGAGAAACATCAATCAGCTGCCTCCTGCACACCCTCTACTGGGACAGTGCCCGCAACCAAGGTACATGCCCTTGATCGGACTCAAACCTGGGACTCTTCAGTCCGCAGGCCGAAGCTCCATCCACTGAGCCAAACCGGTCGGGGCTGAATGTATGTTTTAAAAAATGTTTAAAACATGCCACTTCTCAATTATTTTACTACTAGAGGCCCAATGAACAAAATTCATGCAAGGGGCTCAGCCCTCACAGCCCACAGCTGTGGCTGCTGCCTCAGCCCTCCCAGCAGCCCCGGCTGCCTTGTGGTCCTGTACCCTCGTCGTTCTGGAAGGTTGTCTCACCATTGGTCTAATTAGCATATTAGCTCTTTATTATATAGGATTTTATTATGAATGCTTTTGAGCATATTTGTTGCGACTGTATCTATACATTGGAAATAAAATATGATTTGCTACTGAAATATCTTAGCAGGCCCATGTTCAATGCCATTATTTTGGCAGTTTCAAACTGGCAATGATGAGAGAAAAAAAAAAACTGACAAGTACTACAAACCTTGACTTCACTTAATGTACTATTGGATGCTAAGACTTAGAACAGAGAAGAATGTTAGCAATGCAGATGAGCTGATAAGTGTATCGTACAAGTGGGATTTACTAGTAAATTGCACTTAGGACACAATCTGTGAAAAATAATCTTGTGTCCTATATTCAAATCATATAGTACCAAATTGCAAAGGAGTCAGCTGAGTCGTTGAGGAATGAGTGAAGTGAATATATATGTCTTAGTTGCTGCACTTACCTCCTCTTGATTAAAATAATAAATTCATTTTAAAAGTTGGCAAAAGGTTCTGACCATACATTTCAACAAAGGAGGTAAAGTCAGGGTATTAGTAAATAAATGCATGAAGAAACACTCACCATAAAAAACTTCTTAGTGAAATGGATTTAAAACAAAACAAGCTAACACTATACTCATTTCCGGGTCTACAATTTAAAAACAGTATGCAACCCGTGTGCTGGCAGGATTGTGGAAAAAGTAGAATTGTCATTATTGTTGCTGACTGGGAAGGCAAAGGGAAAGACGATTTTTAAAAAAATATATATTTTATTGATTTTTTACAGAGAGGAAGGGAGTGGGATAGAGAGTTAGAAACATCGATGAGAGAGAAACATTGATCAGCTGCCGCCTGCACACCCCCTACTGGGGATGTGCCCGCAATCGAGGTACATGCCCTTGACCGGAATTGAACCTGGGACCCTTGAGTCCGCAGGCCGACGCTCTATCCACGGAGCCAAACCGGTTAGGGCGGAAAGACGATTTTAGATCACAGTTCTGTTTATCATAAAAAATAAAAGACTCACCTATATTGCAACAGTCAGATGAGTAAAACGTACATCTATGTAATGAACTGAACCCAATATTCCCAGCAGATTTATTTTTAATACCCCAAACATGGAAATAACAAAAACCATAGACAGACCAATGGATAAAGTGGTTACCCACAGAACGTCAGAGTACTCAGCAATAAAATGTAATTAATTATTCACATAAGCTTTAGTGGTTGAATCTCAAAATAACTGTGTAGCTGAAGGAGACCAGTATTTGTTAAAGACTACACACCTCTTAGTGACTATAAAACTATGAAAAATATGAACTAATCTTATAAAGGAAGGAAAATCAATGCATGGAAGGCTAGGGAAGGCAGAGAGAGAGAGAGAGAAATTATGAAAGGGCAGGAGGAGGTAAATACAGGGTGTGGCAAAGCAGGTGTAGAGCTGTTGGCATGGAAATTAATACAATAATGAAAAAATAAAAATACAAGAAACTCCTCCCTGACAGTGAGCCTCGGTGGGGTGGGCACCATCCCTTGCTCTGAAAGGTCACGGGTTCCTTTCCAGCTCAGGGCACATGCCTGCCTGGATGCCCTGTAGGTGGCGTGCAGGAGGCAGCAGTTCAATGTTTCTTACTAATATCACCATTTCTCTCTCTCCCTTCCTCTGTTTCTGAGAAGTCAATAAAAATATTTTTAAACATTTTAAATATATATATTTAATCTTTTTATTGATTTTAGAAAGGAAGGGAGAGGGAGAGAGAGAGAAATATCAATGATGAGAGAGAATCATTGATCGGCTGTGTCCTGCCTGCCCCCCATTGCTGATTGAGTATGCAACCTGGGCATGTACCCTTGACCAGAATCAAACCTGGGACCGTTCAGTCCACAGGCTGACACTCTGTCTACTGAGGCAAACTGGCCAGGGCTAAATATATTTTTTAAAAAAGAGGTAATAGCCCTGACCGGTTTGGCTCAGTGGACAGAGCATTGACCTGCGGACTGAAGCGTCCTGGGTTCGGTTCCAGTCAAGGGCATGTGCCTTGGATGCGGGCACATCCCCAGTAGGTGTGCAGGAGGCGGCTGAATCGATGTTTCTCTCTCATCGATGTTTCTAACTCTCTATCCCTCTCCCTTCCTCTCTGTAAAAAATCAATAAAATATATTTTTTAAAAAAATTAAAAGAGAGAATAAATTCTGTGTTTTGCATACTCTCATGTGTAAGTCTACTTCTGCCCTAAGCTGTAGTTAACTGAGAAATGCTTAGTTCACATGTGCTGGTCTTACAGCTTTAGCCATATATCCAGCTCACCAAATAGTACACATGAGAAAACTGCACTTTGTTGCATGTCAGCTATAACTATACCTAAAAAAAGACTTAAATATTTCCAAATAAAGACTTAGATATCCCTGTCTTGTTAGAAATCTAAAATGGAAACCCTATATGGGCTCTACCATTTCTCCTCTAATTTCCTGAGAGGACCAGCCTTGCCTCAGTGGCAGCAAACATTGGCAAGATGGGAAGACTATGGCCATTGGAATCAACAGGAATGCTGACTGGGTCACAAATGCCACATCCTGGGACTGACTACAGGATTACCCTTCCTCTAGCTTTGAGGTCTTGCCTGTTGACCAGACCTCGAGGTGCACACCCTAGAGAGGCCAGAAGAGGACACAAATCTTTAGGATTTTTTCCCCCTAAAAATGACTTCAGCTGCAGGAAACAGTCAAGGGACGTCCTGAGAATACCCCTACACAAAGTCCACACAGGCCACAGGCCCTGGCACATTCATGGGTAACCTTCAGAAGAGACACTATTCACCTAATTCACTGCAGTATCTCCCACTCACTATGAATACAGGGTTTCTGGCCCAATTGTAGTTCCACCAGAGTCTTTTTTTAAAGAGAGGAAGGGAGAAGGATAGAGAGTTAGAAACATCGATGAGAGAGAAACATGAGAAGTATTGATCAGCTGCCTCCTGCACACCCCCTACTGGGGATGTGCCTGCAACCAAGGTACATGCCCTTGACCGGAATCGAACCTGGGACCCTTCGGTCTGCAGGCTGATGCTCTATCCACTGAGCCAAACTGGTTAGGGTGCCCTCAGAGTCTTATAACAAATGGCACCAGCCTATGAAATGTACATCATGGCACATGGCTCCTCTACAGTATGTGGGGAAGAATTTCCATAAACACTGCTGAGAATTATGTAGGATACACTGGGAATAGCAAATGTAATTCACATTGTTCCCAGAAGCACAGCAGTGAACTCCTCTTCTGGGTGACTGATGCCCCCAGCAATAACAGAGGCACCAGACCGCAAATCAGCACCACAAAGTCATGCGCACTCTCTCTCAAGGCCTTGGTCAGCAATACAAAATCAGCCAATACTGGACAAAGAGTGATTTTCTGCCATTGCTATGTGCCTTCCAAAGCACAGAAAGATCGGGACCCACCATATCTGTTCACCTCTCCACGCTGACAGAACACAACTTTCCTCTCAAATCATCCCAGTGATTTACCAAAAATAAAGATACAAAATAAAATAAAAAAACACCTTTACGAAATATCATAAACCAGAAGAGAGGAGAGCAAGGAGTTTGCAGGCTGGTGAATCAGAACCTGAAGGAATTCGTCACACCATACTGTGAGAACCGCCACGTCCCTGAAAGAGGTAGCGCCTCTTAGCTGAGGACGGGAGCCCTAGATGAACGCTGGGTCAGGTCCATTCCCGAGTCAGAGGTAAAGGAATAAAGATCCTGCCAAGAGCTCAGAGTCTTCATGATTTTCTCAAGCACAAGTGAGAACGCAGAACACATTTCCCCTGAGCACCCACGGGTGGTGGTGGAAGCACGCTCTCCTGGCGAGCCAGGTGCTAGAGGCGAATCTCTTCCACCACAAACACTCAGTGGGAAGTCAGTCAGGTAGTAGGTCTGGGCATGTTAGCAAGTGCCCTTGTACTTCAAGTTTCACTTGTACCCGAAACTGAGGAGGAATCTAACAGCGTATGTTCCATTGTAAGGGATTTACATTCCGGTTAATGCGACGCCAAGTGTCTCCTTCAGCGTCGTCATTCTAAGTGAGAAAAAATACAACATTCCCGGCACATTTAATGCTTTCCCTAGTGTGAACTCCGGGGTTTTCCAGGAGTTTAGATCTTTGGCTGAAAGACTTCCCACAATCACTAGTCACATGGCATTTCTCTACTGTAAAGGCTCTTGTGGCTAAGGGGATGATTACTGCACCTAAAGCGTTTCTCACATGAACTACTTAAATGCTTTTTCACCAATGTGAATTCTGAGGTGTTTACTGAAGCAAGACCTTTGACGGAAGGACTTCCCACATGCTCTGCACTCATATGGCTATTCTCTAGTGTGAACTCTGTGGTGTTGAATGAGGGTAGACCTTAAACGGAAGGCCTCCCCACAGCAGTGCACTCAAATGGCTTATATCCAATGTGAACGCCCTGATGTCCAAGGAGGGCACTGCGATCTCTGAAGGACTTCCCACAATGAGTACACACACACAACTCTTCTCTCATTGTGAGACCATCAGAATACCTAGCAATAATGGCCAACCGAGCATTTGATGTGACATCAGTAGTTTCATCAAGAGAAATAGAAAAATATTTACAACTACTTAAGTCTTTTTTTAATTGATGTTGTACGTTTTTTTTAAGATCTATTATTCTGTCTTTGATAGTATTTCTACTGAGTGGTAACTCAGAAATTCTTTTAATAATATCATCTTTATTTATATATTGTAAAATAGAGCTGGTGCACATCTTAGAAATGTTTCCTTAACAAATTCTCCGTCACTGAGGGCTTTTCCATGCTGAGCTATGGAGAGAGCAATACAGTAACTTGCTGATGTTAAATTTGTAGAGCATCTTACAAATTTAATGATGGAATTTGATTGACTTTCATTGAGGTGTAGCTGCCTAGAAATGTATTCCTTCCTTTCATCGATATTTTTTTTCAATAGCTGACAATGATTAGTTTCAAAATGTCTCTTTACATTCCACGGTCTGCTTACTACCGTTTCATTACACAGTGTGCACAATGATCTGTTGTTTCTGTCCATATGTCTTGAAAGGGTCGGCTACTGCTACTTCCACTTCCTTTATCATTCAATCTTGCTTTTTTATTTTTTTGATTCTCCATCACAAGGCTGCAAAAATAAATAAATATAAATCACGGCGTTTTTTATAAAAGGTTGATAGGTTTCTTACCTATTAACTTTTTGCAGTGTTGTTGCAAACCATAAGATGTTAATACATTCAACAAAAATTTATATTATCTTACTGCTGTGAATTTACAGAGTAATAATCCAGATCCATTTTGATTAGATGGTCGAAATAACCTTCCTAGGTTACTTTTTACAAACATCACAAATCCCTTATAATAATGTAAACAAAATAACTTTTCCCTAAAAGGTGAACTTGAGAACTTCAGTCCACTCTTTCAGGACTTGCACTTCTTCTTGGACTTCCTGATGGGGAACGACTAAAAAGAAAAACATTAGGTTTGGAACCCATTAGTGTCTACTGAAACGTACTCTTCCTACGAACATGTTTCAATAAATTCAAAGGTGGCCAAAGGAACTACGTTTCTATAGCAGAGATCTAAAAATTCATAAATAGCCTGGCCAGTGTGACTCAGTGGTTGAGGGGCAACCCATGAACTAGGAAGTCATGGTTCCATTCCCTGTCAGGGGACATGCCCAGGTTGCAGGTTTGATCCCCAGTAAGGGGCATGCAGGAAGCAGCTGACAGACGTTTCTCTCTCATTGATGTTTCTATCACACTCCCTCTTTCTGAAAAAGATTTATATACAAATCCTTTGTCCCTGCTTAAGATTAGCATCCTTGCTAAAATTGCAAAGTTAAGTTAAAGAGAACTATTTGAATGTTGGGGTTTTTTCTTTGGGAGGGTAATTAAGTAGCAACTAGACAGATAATAGTTTAGCTTCAAGATTCAACCTACAAATTTTTCTTCATTTCCTTTTTACCTATGTGTGGGGAAAGCATGTGTCTTAACATGAAATTATACAATTAAGGGTTCACAGGACTAAACATATCTTGTCATTCTAATATTTTATGACTAAATATTTCCAATAAAAGTATAAGGTGATAATGAAGCAGGAAAAGCAATCCTTTAAGAAACTTAGTATTATATATATAGCACCAATTCTCCAAAGAGCTCAAAATCAAAGCCTGCAAAGTAGGCAGGAAGCAAACAAATTCTGCAGAGGCCACATTTGACGGTTAAAATTTGGCAACAAATTATTTAGCTTACCTTCTTTTTTGGAGATGGAGATCTGGACTTTGATCGGCTGTCAAAACATGAGAAATTCTATTAAGAAAAAGTACTAACCAATCCCTTTCTTACAGTCACAACATCATGAAATGAACCCCCAAATTGTCCTAAAATTAAAATGTCAGGCTGCAATTAAACTGGGGAAAAAAATGCCCATCAGCTTTTGCTAACAAAAGCCCATCTTCCAACTAGCCTTCATAAAATGAACTGCTTTTATCATGATTCATCTGCCTAAAGTTCACATATCTCAGAATGCTTCTCCATGCACCTATTAGTTCTAACAAGGGCCTCTTAACACCAAAGGTACAAACTGCTTTCTCACTATACCTTGACATTCCCTTGTCCAGGAAATCATCCAGAAGAGGCCATGTACAAATGAAGTTCTAAAGTTTAGTTCATTAACAAGGTACCGTGTTCCCACTCAACACCTAGGCTTAGAGTTGGCACCTGAAGCCTCAATAATTCAAAACACTTTGAAGTCTTTGGATATTGGTGCCATATAACGAGAGCATTGTTCAGCTTTTTACCCTTACCTGCTTCTTGGTCGTGAAATAGACCTGGATCTTGATCTTGACCTTGACCGAGATCTTAAAAACAAAAATTATACCAATTAGTCCACACTAGTAATTTCCTTAAACACCTTCTGAGCACCTTATTAGGCAGGCTCGGAATAGAAGCCAAAACTGAACAAGATGCCACTCTTGCCTTATATCAGTCTAAGATTCAACAAGTTGCCACATTTTCAACAAGGTCCAATATCAAATAAATAAGGAACTAGCATTTTAATTATTTGCTTCTACCATACCCAATGAGCTAGATTGTTAGGTAAGTATCCAAGAGAAAGTAAATGGTTTTCATTTAAGACTGATATGATTTGATTTTATCTTAAAATCTCTGCATTTAAAGATTTATAACACAATATCTCCCAATGGCATTTCCTACCTAGGAGACTCATCCATCATCTATAGTACTGTCAACTCCTTATTCTCTATACTTTATTCATTTCTATCACCTTTACAGGTCTTTTACAAAAGGAATAAAAAGAGGTGAAGTTCTTAGTTTGATTTCTACCTTCTAAATTTCAGTGTTTAAGTGTCTGGCTAAACAAGCCACATTTACCCATATGTACACTACTATTTCCCTAACAACTTTCTAAGGTCTCAAATTCACCCCATCATGCCAAATTATGTCCTTAAGACACTCTCTTTTTGCCATTAAGACGTGACAAACCAAATACAAATAAGTGGGGGGGTGGGATATGGTACATACTGGAATTACCTCGATCCTTTTATAGAACCAGATCTAGATCGTCGGAGTGAAGCGGATCGTGATCTACGAAGAGACACAGATCTTGATCGTCGAGGAGATGCTGATCTCGACCTAAAAATTAAATCAAAGAGGTTTAGGTCCATCTCCAATTTAAGTTTTTTTATTGCTTGTTAAAACTTGCATTAAAGATCTCTCACCTCCTTCCCCTGCTCTTGCTCCGTGAGCGAGAATATCGTCTACCTCTGGATCTCGAATGGGATCTAGACCGTGACCTATTTTTCAAGTTGGGAAAGTAACAAAATGTTAGATGGCAACTCGTATTTATAGTGTCTGTCCCTCTGCTGAAATCAAGTCTCAAAACTATTTAAATTTACTATCTCATTTGGAAATAAATTCTGGGCCTATTAGTTGTCCAGTTTTTTTTTAAACTACCTAAAAAGAGATTTGTTAAAAGCTGAATTACATCTTAGAATTACATAATATAAAACACTGTAATGTGTATTTAAAATAAACCTTGCAAGTTTGCAGGTCGACCCTCTTTGGCCCATGGTCTAGTAGATCTAGACGATCTAGAAGTATCTATAGCCGATCGCTGCATCTAGATGTTTTCTTCAATCTAACGACGATCAAACTGACAGCCAAATGAGCCAGGTGAGGCTTGATTGACGCAAGAAGATTTTTCTAGTTGGAAATGTGGTCAATCTGGTGTTCCTCTTTCTAAACCGGAGGGGGCCCCAATTGTAAGCCAAATTTACTGTTACGGCGATCACCGACTCAAATTTTCTGCCCTTTAAAGAATAAGGTGAAGCTAGGTGTAGATGACTCGAGGGGATCTGGCCTCTTATGCTGATCACCTCAAGGTCTAGGAGGATCTTAATTGTCGGATTTGCAAGGCGCCTCAGCATATCATAAGGCTCGTGACATTCTGAATCAAGGCGACTGACTCAAACGAAGAAACCTGAAAGGTTTGACCAGGTTATGAATATATTAACATTTGTCTAATTAAACAAAAATTATAAAAATATACCTGTACAATTAACATTCAAATTTATATAAAAATATTAGTTTCTGCCTTGCTAATAAAAGAATTACTTGATTAACCAGTACACCAACCATTCCTTTAAAATAAATACCTGCTTCTTCTTCGTCGGCTATAGCGATGACAATCATAAGCATAATGTCCCTTTTCACCACACTCATAGCATCTATCATTTGGATCAAAGGGATGTCGGGCAGGTGGTCTATCCAAATAAGATCTCCGAGGCATGCCTGTTGATAGTTCAACCCTCACTCGGGAATCACAAATCACCCTGTAAAAGAGAAGCAACAAAATTCTAATGCTAAAAAAAAAAAATACGTACCACCTCTGGATCTGGAACTTTCCATCCCTCTGTTTTCACAGGCTTCAGCTATCTTTGTAGCCCTTTGAAGGCCACCTCCACTCCCTTTCGTAAGCAAATAAAATGATTAGCTATTTACATTTTCCTCTAGACCAGTGGTTCTCAACCTTCCTGATGCCGCGACCCTTTAATACAGTTCCTCATGTTGTGGTGACCGCCAACCATAAAATTATTTTCGTTGCTACTTCATCACTGTAATGTTGCTGCTGTTATGAATCGTCATGTAAATATCTGATATGCAGGATGTATTTTCATTGTTCGCGACCCACAGGTCGAGAACCGCTGCGACAGAACCCAAGCTTAGCACCTCCCCATCACCCAGCCTAGCAGACTGTCCTCATGAACCGAAGTTTCGTAACTGGCATCTCACTTACTTGCCATCCAGGCCTCGAACTGCATCTTCTGCATCTCTAGGGTCTTCAAATCCCACAAAGGCAAATCCAGGAGGATTTCTTGCAATCCACACAGTTCTTAAGGGGCCATAGTAACTGAAAGCCCTTTCTAACTCTCCTTTGCCAGCACCTGTTGCCAGGTTACCAACATACACCTTAGTTTCTGTTTAAAAATGCAAACAGAAGAACGCGCGTTAGGCAAAATTTGACCCAAGTTTGAACGAATTCTTTGCACGCCCTTAAGACCGTTCCAAACACTGTTTTGTGCTCTTCTCAGGAACCGAATGTGGTCTTAAAGCCAGCAAAGTCGGCACATTTCTCAAGAGCTGGGCGTAGGACAAAGTTCTTCACGTTCTAAAGGGTGTCCCAAAGTTCACGCAAGAAGTAATTTTGATAGAAAACACAGGTTTATAATTAAAAATTGTAAATTTTTTATTGACTCATAAAGTATACAGTATAGGGTCATGTATGGAATAGAATATCATATGGAATAGAATATCGGGTAAATGGCCTCCATGGCTTTGCTGGCACATACGCCCGAGAAACAATTCAATTACTGCATGAGTTATTTCCTGGTCGTGTCATTTCCCCGTTTTGGTGATCAGAATTGGCCGCCCAGATCGTGCGATTTAACGCCGTTGGACTTTTTCTTCCGGGGTTTTTTTAAGTCTAAGGTTTATGCCAACAAGCCCACAACCACCCAAACCTTGAAGGAGGAAATTGAGCGCTGTATCAACGAAATTCAGCCACATTTAATGCAAAACAGTCATGGAAAACTTCAACAAACGAGTGCGTATGTGCCAGCAAAGCCGTGGAGGCCATTTACCCGACATGCTATTCCATACATAACCCTAGGCCAGTGATGGCGAACCTTTTGAGCTCGGCGTGTCAGCATTTTGAAA